CCCTTTTCTGACTAAGTATTTTTATACATGGATCACACTAATATGTCTGGCGCATGAAAAGCAACGGATACAGTAAAACTTAAGTATTTTTATACAGCGATCAGATTTTTGTAATGTGTAATTTTATTATGGCTCAATACTGCCAGCTATCATTTAATACAATTCGATTAGTTAGAGCATATTGATGGCTTCGGTTGATACAAAGGCGTATGTTCACTCAATATAACGGAATAATATACAACTAGACTCACTATGTCTGTTTGAACAACAGAACATAGGGCTTTTCTCCATTGCTTTAATGAGAAATGAAGTTGATATTGCAACAAAAAGAAAAGTCGTTAAAAGGTATGAACTAAAAAAAAACACGGAAAACAAATATAGTTTTAATGAAGTGGAGAAGAAAGGAAAAAAACCCAAAAAAAACAAAACAAAACTCGACTCGAACTATGGCTGCAACGGTAACAGCGAAGTACATCGTGATTCATAACCATTGCGCGCCACATGAGCCTTCCTTGAATAAAAAGTACATTTTCAGTTTATAGCGATTCAATGACTGAAAGCAAAAATTGTTTATGCATATCACGGTAGTTTTGAGTTTAACCGAGCTGTAAATGGCTTAAGTGTTTTAGAAAATGGTCCTCATATCCACACCCAAAATTGGATCATATCACCATGAAAAACTATTCTGCAAAGTGTCATTTTTATCCATCTATAACTGGGACGTAGGCAATTTAAATGACGCTCAAATTTACACCCTAACCTGGATCGTCCCCTACACATAATGTAATATCTTGCTTGGGTTAAACTTTCCCGAAAGTTTCATTCGGATCAGTTGACATATTATAAACCCTACGCCGGATCATTATAAAAATTCAGTCATTCAGTCTTTATAGACTCTTTATAGATATTAACGTCTGGGATGTCAAAAATTTAAATGACCCTCCAGTTTATACCCTTGACTGATTCGTCGCCAACACGTAATACTATCTTTCTTGTAAACTTTTTCCGAATATTTCATTCTGTTATACAAGGTTTAAATTATACCCATTGATTTTTTTAAAAGAGATATTTAGGTCTGGGTCCTCAAAAATTGAAATGACCCTCCAATTTACACCCTTGACTGATTAGTCGCCAGCACATATTAATTTCTTCCTTGTAATTTGGTTAAACTTTTTCCGAAAGTTTCATTCAGATCAGTTAATCCGTTTTCGAAATACATGTGGTCTGGGACGTTTTCCTTTAAATGGTCCTCAGATCCACACTATACTGCGGATCGTCACAAAAATTAAATCATTTTTTACAAGACCCTTACAAAGTATTATAGAATGTTTCATTTAGACCCATTGGTATTTTTAAAAGAGATATTTAGGGATGGGTCCTCAAAAATTTAAAAGACCCTCCAATTTACACCCTTCACTGGATCGTCACTAACACATAAAACTTTCTTCGTTGTTTAAACTTTCCCGTATGTTTCATTCACACCAACTGACCGGTTTTTGAAATATCCGGTGTAGACTGTTTGACCTCAAATCACCTTGATTGGTCCCTACACGCACACCCCACCATAGATTGACACGAAATATTAGGAGGCACACCCTTGATATATGGCCTTTGCTTCGACGGTACTAGGACATTTCGCCGAATGCCAGTTTGCCAACGGACGTTTGACGGCAGACAGTTGACCGAAAGAAAATTCTCCGACACCGAAATTCGCCGACTGGACGATTTGCCGACAGCCAATTCGCCGACAACGAATTTGCCGACAGACATTTCGCCGACAATTTATTTTTGTGATGTTGTGATTGATGTTTCTTCAACAAATGTTTTGTTTTGTGGAGGACTGGGTAGTCGTCATGGAAAGTCGTTATTTATAGATATCCATACATGCAGACACACTTTCAATATTATAATCATGCAATACAAGATTCTGCCAAAAAATATTAAATACAGGCCTATAATAAAAACATGTTCATTTATATTTATATTAAATATTTTAGTACTAAGAAAATCAAAAGCGACTGTAGTAACTAAAGCAATACAAAAGGGCAATTTTATAAATCGGTACAAACTGATATAATAAGGAAGACAGGATACAAAATACCAGATGTGACTTTACTGTAAATTTAAGGAATATTGAAATATACAATATACTTTAAAGTAATAATATTTCAAATGTTTGAAATTCACGAGAATACGACGTATTACAAAAATAAACAGTAAAGTTTAAATATACAAGTGGGGACACATTACAATATTAATTGATCGGTATCTTTTATTCATTCACGTATAAAATTCAAAATATAGCAGCACAGGATGAATTACAGTTTTAATGAATTAGGCAAATCAATAAATTAATGGGTATATACAATAAATGAGCAATAAATTAAGTTAGCTATATACAAATTGAATTTAAAAAAACCTAATTGATTATCTGTTTATATACATTAGATACATAAAATAAAAAAGTAAAATAATAAGGAAATGTATATAAAAATAGATAATCATGCAATCAAAAAACTCAATATTCATTAATAAATAATAATTATGTAACAAAATATTGTAATACAATAACTATTCAATAAGTCAAAATAAAATATAGTGCACGAAAACATATATACGTCACATAAATACCGTCTTAAAGGTTATTACTTTGCGGGCGGGGGTTGGGTTTGTTCAGACTTTAGGCAATGAACTGTCTATGAGTTGGGAGGTTGAAGTTAAAAGCATTTCATGTAAAGTAAAACAAAAATAAAGCGACATGTATACTGACAAAAACATTCCTTAATAAACGACAGAATAGTATTTCGAATATTTTGATGAAGAGTATTTTTTTTAAATTTTTTTTTTTAGTGACTGAGCAATTTTAAAGCTAGATAAATAAAGTATCAGCAAACATAATTAAATCCATCATAACATTATACTTCTCTTTTGTCTCCCTTTTCATCTTCTTCCTATTCTTCTTCTTATTCTTCTTGTTTAGCAAGGGATTACACAAACTTATTTGACGAGCAATATTAACTGAAATCCGTAAACCTCAAGGTTGCTTCCCCGATCAAGATGTATTCCAAGAATAATGAGGATATCCAAACGAGCATTTGTCGTAGTAGAACGTAAACCATTTTTAATTATTCCCATTGAACAGGGGCGGATCCAGAATTTTTCAAACGGGGGAGGGGAGTGGTCAAAACGCTGTTTTGACACTTGACACTGTTCTGCTGACTTACGTTCCAATAGATGTTTGAACGCAATTCATTATTGTTATTATTATTATTATTATTGTTATTATTATTATTGCTGTTGTTGTTTTGTTATTATTGTTAACACAAACAGTACACAAATGATATGGTTGCTAAACGAACAGACATGTAAAAATATTTTTTTAATTTGTTTTACTTCCCTACGGAATGTACTCGTCTTCCCTGATCCACATGGGTGCGGGGGGGGGGGGGGCGGTAGGCTTCCCCGACGAGGGCCCCCTCTGGTGCCACCTCTGTTTGTTCCTAAGGTACTTTTTCGCGACTCACTGAAATTTTCAGTGGCCATTAAATCGGTGTCCTTTTCAAAATGGATTATGCAGAAAATATTGTGGCTCAACTCTGATTTTGTGTTCGCCGACAAGATTGAAGTATGATAATGGTTTTAACTACAAATTTTCCACTTGTCAATTCTGTTTATCACAGTTTTGTGTTTGTGGTTGGAAACACACATTATTCTATTATACCACTCAGTCATACCAGAGAACAGTTAAATTACTTGTAATTTAACTGTTCCCTGGTCATACTTGTACTAAATATCAATTAACCATTCATGCTTTATCATTACTATAATTGTCACCATGGGATTTCATAAATACCAGAATAGAATAATTCTTTCACGAACGGTGCGAAATAGAGGGTGCCCAGAGAGGGACCTTCACATATAGGCACCTCAGCCCCATCATGGTTAGGGGTGGGGGAAGAGAGAGAGAGAGAAGGAAGATATTGCCGGGGTACCCCTTCCCCCTAACTCAGATGTTGAAAAATAACATAAAGTGCCCCTTTTTAAATGTTGAAAAATGACTGACATCAAAAGTGCCATTCCTGGCATCTAAAAGTCCCCAATTATTAACATTTTTCACCTCAGCCTCAACCATGATGGGGCTCGGGTGGATAGAGTAATTTTACTAGTTTTTATGTATTAAAGTGCCATTTTTGGCATCTAAACGTCCCCAATTCAATTCAATTAATCAATTTAATTAACATTTATTCAATTAATTAATCAAATACATCAAATGATAAATAAAGTGGACAACATTAAAATTGATTAATTAGGATCAGAAATAGAAGCAAAGCTTTAGAAGCAAAGCTTGTCTCAATTTGACACTGACAAGACAAAAAGTAAAAAACTAATAATAATAAATGCATATCAAGTATATATATTCTAAAAGTGTGGGTGAAATTTTTAAACTTAACATGAGTATCATTCCATAATTTCGGTACGTATACAGAAATAAAAAATTGGCTTTTAGTTAGTCTTACAAAAGGAACGTAAAGTGAGTTTGAATTTTTTAAGTAATAACTGTGTATAGGTTTATAATCATGAAATAAAGCTAATATAGAGGTTGGGAGTTCACCTTTTATGTATTGAAACATAAAAGAGGCAACTTGTAATTTGTTTAGATCCATAATTTTTAATATATTTAGTTCTTTAAACAGAGGTTCAGAAGACGATGCAAATGAAACTAAATCAATAATTCTGACAACACGTTTTTGAAGCTTATGTAATCAATCCAGGTTCGAAGAATAGTCACAGGCCCATACTAAGTTACAATACTGCAAATAAGGAAGAATAAGAGTATTCAGTACATTTCCATGTCAGGTAGGGCAAAATTACACCTATACATGTTTCTGCTGACGCAAATCCAGTTATTGTCTATTCAATCACGACGATAACAATTACTATCAACACTGCAGTACCCGCTGCTTACTTGGACTCGAATTCAACCCTGGCCATCAGGCGCAAGCTCGGTGGTCTAGAGGTATGATGCCAGGCTATTGATCTGGAGATCGTGGGTTCGAGTCCCACCCGAGAACTAAATGTACTGAGTATTCAGTACGTTTCCACGTCAGGTAGGGCAAAATTACACCTATATAAGAAAAAGAGTATTGTATAAAGTAATTGAAGTGTTGCGTGTGAAGAATAACTTAAGCCTGTTTATTATTATTCTTACAATGTTCTCACCTCAGCGTAATCCATGATGGTGGTCAGGTGGAAATAGTAATTTTCGTAGTTTTTGTGTATTAAAGTGCCATTCCGGCATCTAAAAGTCTCAAATTCTTACAATTGTCTTACCTCAGCCTCAACCATAATGGGCTGAGGTGGATGGAATTTTTTCATAAATTTGAAGTATCCAATTGCCGTTTTCGGGCAACTGTAAAGTCCTAAATGTTTAAAATGTACTCACCTGCGCCCTAAAAACATAATGGGGCTCAGGTAGATATCGTAAGTTTTGTACTATTCAAGTGCTATTTTTGGGCATCTATACGATTTTCAAATTCTCAAACTTTAATCACCTGAGCCCCAACCATGGTGGAGCTCAGTCGGATAAGGTACCGGTAGTTTTTAGAGTTGTAAGTATTTAAGTGCCATTTTCGGGTACCTATTTAATTCATTCGGGTTTTTTTTGCCTCAATTCGTCAAAAATAAAAAGCAATAAAAGGTAATTTAAGTTCCAACTTCAGGCATCCAGAGGTATAAAATACTGAATTTTCGGGTCACCGCCAACCACAATGGCGCTGATGTGATGTAGTCTCTTAGTTCATCAGCTTGTTTTGTTTTGTTTTTGGGTGGGGGAGGTGGTGGAGGCTCATTTATGAAAATGATTTTCAACCTAATATTATTAATTATGGCTTTCAAGCCTCTCAAATGATGGGAGAGCGACAAGATAGAATATGTTACCCCCGTCGTTTAAACTTTTTTTTCATTTATACAGGAATGCCTTTTTTCTTTTTGGACCCCCTCTTGCAAATATCTGGAGCCACCACAGTACTCACAGCCTCGCGAAAGGCCGCTAAAGGCATAACACAATGAGAGCAGCAGATGAAATTGAACCGGAAAGCTCATCATTTATGTAAAAATGTCAGGCTTGAGCGCACATAGTTGACCCCAGAGTTAAGCTACTTTCTTGGCCTACAAACCAAATATTCCAAAACTAAACTGAACGTAAAAATCAAAATAAAAACGTATGATTTTTTTTATTACAATTCTCCAGTTTCACTTTATGTACGGTAACATTATATTTATGCGATCGTGTCTCGTCTCAGTGCATGTACCTACAGTTCTAGTAGTGCATTAGACGTTGCGCAAAATGTATTGAATAAACATTAATGATCATGTTGAGGATGCATAAGTGAAATGTGATACAGACTGTGATATGCTATATAAACTAGTCCTAAATTAATGAATATGAAACAGTTTTTTGGAATGATACAAGCACTAACAAATTTAACTAATTAATAAAATACAACAATGACAATAAAACATGTCATCGTGTAAAAATTGGTACGGGCCTATTGTAAATTATTTGGTAAATAAGTTTCACTTTTCACGTTTTTGGGTATAACGGCTATATTGCCAGCATTATCAGAGATGCAGTGGCTATTTTCACACTATTTAGTATGAAAGTTAAGTTAGTTTAACAGGTGATATTGCGGGGGGTGTTCCTAAAATTGCAGTGCATTATTATAAAATAAAATTGAGGTTCATTTAAGCTGAAGCTCTCTCCACACTAATAAATTTTATTTGACAAATTTGTGTGATGTGCCTTGCCCATATAGCATACATAGGCATGATTAAGTCATATTACACACAAATATGGGCACATCAGTTTTTTTTGTCACATAAAATTTGATAGTGTGGACAGAGCTTTATTCTAGCTTTAATAAAAAAATAGGCATCTCGGTATTATTTTATTAACTGACGTTTTTAAAATACATTGATATCAGGTAAAATGGACAATTGCATTCATTCAAGTTTCAGTCCTTAATATTGTAGTTTGAGTTCATATCTCATTTCATTATGTAAATAGGCCTATCTAAGATCACTGTGAATTATTATTTAATGTGGCAGTTTTATTTTTTGTAAGTAGTTTTTATTTACTGATCATACACATATTGCTACGATACACACTAAACTTAATTAAAATCTTAATAATACAGGGAATAATTAAAAAATGCAGGGCCGGCGGAACGTTTTTCAAAGTAGGGGGGCCCACTTGTAAGATGAATGGGAATATGAATCATGCAGATCTGGAATCAAATCTTTTGATTTCTAGATGGCGGGAAATGACTTTTCTCGACTTTTAAGCTAGGTGTCTAATGACTTTGTTCTTCAAAAATAAAGGTTTACCCCCTCTTGAAAACAGTCAGGTAAACTTTCTCATTCCTATAACTAGTAAATAGGCATGATATGTGTGTAAACTTACATAACAAAAAAAAAGTTGCGTAGGCCTACGTATTCTTTTTTCAATGAATCGATAAGCTGCAAAGAAAAGGGGGGTCCGGGGTTCTCCCCAGGGAAAATTTTGATTCCTAGATGGCGGGAAATGAGCTTTCCGACTTCTGAGGTGTCTTAATTACTTTCAAGGTTTTCCCCTCTTGAAAACGGTCAGGTAATTTTTCCCATTGCTTTTACAGTAAATAGGCCTTATGAGTGTATACATACACTCATAAGGTTAAAAAAAAAAAAAATGAGTAGTTGCATACGATTTTTTTTCCCATGAATCGATAAATCCCAAAAAGAAAGGGGGTCTGGGGGAAAAATTTTGATTCCTAGAAGGCGGAAATTAGTTTTCCTGACTTTTGAGGTGTCTTTTAATTACTTTTAAGTTTTTCAAAATTCAAGGTTTTCCCCTCTTGAAAATTATTATAATGAATCAATAAACCCAAAGAGAAAAGGGAGGTTCAGGTTCTCCCCGGGAAAATGTTGATTTTTAAATGGTGGGAAATGAGCTTTCCCGACTTCTAAAGTATTTTTTAGCGACTTCAATTTAAGTTCTTCAAAATTCAAGGTTTTCCCCTCTTGAAAACTGTAAGGTAAATTTTTCCCATTGTTATTACAGTAGATAGGCCTTAGGCCTATGTGTGTATACATACATTTAAAAAATTGAGTAGTTGCATACGAATTTGTTTTCCATGAGTCGATAAATCCCCCCAAAAAGGGGGGGGGGGTTGATTCCTAGAAGGCGGGAAATGAGCTTCCCGACTTCTAAGTTGTCTTTTAATTACTTTTAAGTTCTTCAAAATTCAAGGTTTTCCCCTCTTGAAAATTATTATAATCAATCAATGAACCCAAAGAGAAAAGGGAGGTTCGGATTCTCCCCGGGAAAATATTGATTTCTAAATGGTGGGAAATGAGCTTTCCCGATTTCTAAAGTATCTTTTAGCGATTTTAATTAAAGTTCTTCAAAATTCAAGGTTTTCCCCTCTTGAAAACGGCCAGGTAATTTTTTCCCATTGTTTTTACAATAAATAGGCTTTATGTGTGTGTACATACATAAAAATTAAAAAAATATGAATTTTTTTTCCATGAATCGATAAATCCCAAAAAGAAAGAATCAATAAATCCCAAAAAGAAAGGGGGGGGGGGGTGGCAGTTCTTCCCCGGGAAAATTTTTTATTCCTGAGGTGTCTTTTAATTACTTTTAAGTTCTTCAAAATTCAAGGTTTTCCATCTCTTAAAAATGATTCAATGAATCAATGAACACCAAAGAAAAAGGGGGTCCGGGTTCCCCGGGAAAATTTCGATTTCTAGATGGCGGGAAATGAGCTTTCCTGACTTCTGAAATGTCATTTATAAATGACTTTTTAATTTCTTCAAAATTTAAGGTTTTCAGCTCTTTGAAAACGGTCAGGTAAATTTTTCTCATGAGTAGTTGCATGCGTATACTTTTTTCCATGAATCGATAAATCCCAACAAGAAAGGGTGGTCCGGGGGTTCTCCCCCTGGAAAATTGTGAGTCCTAGATGGCGGGAAATAAGCTTTTTTGACTTTTATGTTCTTCAAAATTCAAAATTCTGATTTCCTTAAAAGCAAAAAAAAAAAAAAAAAATCAGCTCATGGGTCCTGAAAAGGTAGGTCTAGAATTCTTTTTCCCCATTTTTTGGCCCAAGGGAGGGGTCAGGACCGATGACCCCCTCCCCCAGATCCGCCAA